GAGCTGAAAGAGATTTTCGCAAATTAAATTTCGGGGATTAGTACCCGGACTTAATACGGACAAGTGGGTGACGTCCCAAGCCGGAGAGAAAGAGCGAGCTGCAGAGTCTCGTCCCACGGGAGTGCTACGTACGCTAGACGCGCACGAAGCCATGCATACATGTACGCGGGACGTCGTCGACGTGCTCGTCCTTTTATTTCGTGTTTATGTGTATACGCGTCTACGTAGCTCCAGTCGTCCCTGCCCGTGCCGAGCCACCGCGCTCAAACGCTTGCTTTTTATTATTTTTATATGTACGTTCTCCGACGCGAGCTGGTTTATTTTTTTTTTTTCGCGTGCTCGTTCCAAAATTAAAATGGAATAATACGCGAGTTAAAAAATTGAATAGAAAACACGCACGCCAGTGGCAGCAGTAGGAGCAGCAGCAGTGGCAGCCCGTATTAAGTTTTGCAAAATTTTAATTGATGTATGAAATTTCCATCGAAACTTTCTCCGCGGTGGCGCGAGAGCTAGTTTGTAGACGCGCACGCGCGCAGCAATCACATAATGCACGAGCCATGTTTCATTAATTCACTCCACTCAAGTCGAGCATATATCTATACGTTATGTACGCGTGTAAGCCCGTCGAGAAGTCCGGACATGCTCTCTATCGCGCACACACAATCCGGATATCTAATCTATGATCCATCGATTTCCAGACGCTTACGCACACACACACACACACACACACGGATACGGACGCGGGCTCGCTCGAGCGTTTACTCGCTTTTTTGCTCGGTTTTTCATTTTATCGCGTTTCGCTTGGATGTACTCGCGCTTGTGTTTTACTGCTGCTGCTGCTGCTGCTTCTGTAGGTATATAACGTCTACCCTCGGTTTTCACCTCCCCCAAGGGACACCGCACGTTACGTATACGTACATACCACATGCACATACACACGTGAGCCGGAGCGAGCGACGATTCCTCATTCGCGCATGACAACGACGCGGACGACGACGACGACGACGACGACGGCACCCTCGACGACACACACGTATACCAATGCACGTAAACGTGTGATCTCGTGTCTCTGTGTCAGTACGTGGGTGTGAGGTACTTTGCGCGATTCTATTTGTCAGCTGCGAATTCGCCACGCGCCATTCTATACCGAGTCCTGGAGACTGTGTCGCGGCGAGCTCTGAATATGTATAGTCTTGCCTCACGTACACGAGCTACGAGCGCCTACAACGAGTGTGCGAAAGTGATACTTCAGTTTCGATCTTGTTTCAAATTAACTCGTCCTTTGAGAATGAAATACTACTTTGCTGGCTTTCGCTAGCATAGCAGTGCTGTGGTGGTGGCAGCGCCAACAGCGACAAAAAAAACTTGCAACTTTGCTTCTGTTTGTGTACATGTATATATGTGTGGGTACGCAAAAGAGGGAGAGCCTGCGAATTTCTTTCGCCCTGCCTATGTGTATGCGTGAATGTACATTAGGTGTATGCGTGTGTAACAAGCCAATGCTCGCTACACGATGATATGTATTGTATTACTCTTTGACGAGACGAGGAAAGCTATACATGCCTACCGCATGAAAGTACATAAGATCCTGCATAATACTGTTGAGTTTCATTGCTAACACTGCGGGTACTCGCGACTCGAGGCGGCTCTTTGTTAAATATTCTCGAAAACAAGAGTAAGCCCCAGAGTTCATAGTATTGGTCTGTGATACAAGAGAGTGAGTCCGCAATGGACGAGAGTTTGGCTGCTTCTAATAATAACTTGATTATTTCTATCGCATGGATATTTTCTTCGCTTCGCGAAACTGATTTGTGGGCTTTGCATTAAAATTGCACAATCATTCGAACAAAATCAGCCAGAATAGTCCGTACTATCGTAAAATCTCACCCTGGAGAGAACATTGGCTCGATCTCATTAGGGTAATATAGGATCGATTACGTCCGTGCTTGATTAAAGTTCGCGAAGCGCCTCACTGGTGTCCTTTTGTCTCCTATTCGAATTTTGCAACGCTTAGGCAGAGGAGCAAAGAGAAGGACAGTCCAAGAATTAGAATATCAATTATCTGTTGTTCGTATGATGTTACAGGGTAGTATGGCCATCTCACCGTAGTGGTGGCGACGGTCGACGAGCCAAGGCCTTAACAGTTACTAAACTCGCTGCCTGAGTCTCTTTCTCCTTGTCGTGTGCAGCTTGCTGGCTTATACTCCTTGGGCAAAGTATTCCTTGACGCGCGCTTATGTGCATGTGTGTGTGTGCGTGCGTGTGTTTATGCGCGTGTATGTATGGGTGCAAGTCGTGTAGATATATAATATCGTGCGTTGCGGCACAGTAGCGCCGCCATTGGCTATTTGCCGGGGCGGGAGGGGGCGAAGCTCTTTTATAGCCCGTTGCCTGGTAACCGTCGACGGCAACGGGGGCGCCCGCACCACACCCCTCGTGCACCGGGCGCACTTTCTGTGCTTTCGCTACTCTTCCGAGCACATGCGCACGCACTCACACATACAAATCTGCTTCATATATACACACTATCACTGACATTTGTGTTGTATGTATATTGGGCAAGTGTTGTGTGTGTGTGTGCTGGCTCGATTTGCTTTGTTTCGACTCACTGCTCTGCTGCTGCTGCTGCTGCTACTGCGGTGCTGTGCTTGGCTTCTTAGCTCAGAGCTTTACGAGTGTGTTTGCCGGAGCTTCTGTCGTGCTGGCGTGCGAGGCAAGATCTTTTCTTTGATCTGTGTGGGTGTATGCGTTCAAGCCCGTATTTATATGCATGTGGCTCAATGTACAACTTGTAGCAGGTATACCGACTCAACTGACCCTTTACAGCTTAATTTTCTAATAGCGCGTGTATTTTTTCCGTCAAGTGCTAGACTTTATTTTTTACGGGCACGCGCTCATCGCCAAAACTTTTGCTCGCTGATTATTTTCAGCTAATCGGTGCCAACATTTACCGAATCATTCGTCTTTTCTCAATTTTTTTCCCTTCGAGAGCTTTTTTATTTTTTGTTAATAAATAAAAGAACTGTTTGAGGTGAAATACGAAAAAATACGTACATGGCTACGGGTACGTAACAAGTTCTATTTAGTCACAAAGCAATATAACTACGCGTTTTTCTTTCATCGGCTTCTCGTTTGCTTCTCGTTCGCCTATTTTGCCTCTTCAAACGATAGTGTACATGTGGCGTACATAGGTATACTATACGTACGTGCAACTGTGTATCGAGATGGGAGCGTAGAGAAAAATTCAGCTCACCAGCTATATAGCGGAGGCGTGCAGCGGCGCAATACACTCAAACTGATTGGAAGGCGTTCAAGGATCTCGCACATGTACGCTCGCCTCGATGTGTACGTGCAGTAGGAGCTATGTTGCGAGGCCATGCATGTACGGCTTTTTATTTTCTACTTCAACGGCTTGACTAACTTTTCCTGACTGCGTTGTAGTTATATACGTATTGATTTTAAACTCGTGCACTCGGAATTTTCTACGATAACGCCTGCGAAATCGTGGCCACAATCGCGTAGGAAATCGTTAAAAAATTCATTTTCGACGAGGTCATCTCCCTCTATGGCTTTGAAAATTCTTCTAAAAAGGTCCTGTAGGCTGGGCACGCGCACCCGAATTGAAGGAGAAAAATGGAATATAATAGGCAATCCCCGGTAATCCTAAACCACGAAATCGCACGAGGAAGTATATTCCTGCTCAACGAGTGCGATATATGTACAGAGGTAGAGAAGGAAAATAAAAAAGCGTGCTGTGCACGTAAAAGGGCAGGCAAGAAATTGATCGCCAGCCACAGAGGGAAAAAAGAGCTCGTACACATGTACACGTATGCACGCTGTGTAGCCTGAACTGCGAGACACGTACATAAAGTATGAGAAAACGAGCGTTACACATACGCGTGTCGCGAAGAGCCTCGAACGTAAGGAGAAAAGAGGAAAGGAAGAAAAAAACGTCGCTTTGAGTAGAAAAGTGGTGTAAACTCGCGCTCGGGCAGCAGCAGCAACCGCACCAGTTTGAAAAAGGACGCTTTAAAAACAATGTTCGACCGGACGGCGCCATATGGACTACGTCTCGTCTTATTTGAAAATTTTCATACGCTCAATATATAGGTAAGCACTTGAGCAAGTGAAAGAAAAAGAAAGAGAAAAGAAAACGGCGAGAGAGAATCTTTCGCTCGCGCACTTGACTCCGATCATATACGTCCAGTCAGCGTGATACGCGCCTTACAAGCTGGCTCGAGCTCGCTTATAATACTTTGACTCGGCAAACACGGAATTATTTTGTTATTGCCCTGCTTTTGTGTCTTTTTGATTATACACTTTGCTCACGAGAGTTATTCTAATGATTCATAATACAAACGCCGATACGAACTGCTCAAACATATAACTTGCCGATCGACACGAATACTGCCTCTTTTATGCCAGCTCTTTTATATGTAGCCAGGTATATGTATGCATGAAACTTGTCTAAGAATTGACCTGTCTGATCCACTACAGTCACAATACATTGTTTGACTTCAAAACAAAAAAGTGTTGAGCGCGAAATTTTCAAGATGATATTGCGGCACCTAAATGAACAGCGCTCACATATTCAACTGTGGATGACTGTTTTAATTGACATTGATAAAGCTACGAATAATGAGTATTTGACAAATTGTATTGAAACGCTTGGACTTATCTAGAATATATCTAGACGTCTCTCAAAAAACGCAAGACAAGTTCGATACTCTGAACTTGTTTAACTATAATTTAAGTTGAAACCGTTGTCTAGCTTTATAATTATTACAAAATAGCTCAGTTCTATTCATTTTACAGCTATTTATTTATGTACCAACTTTTATCTGTATGTAAATGATTTCCTGTCGAATTAATTTTTTTTTACATCCTTATTAACATCGACAAAAAAATGTTTAAAAGGAATCGAATCAAATCTTTGTTTCAACCCACTCGCCTCACAAAAGAATCGAATAATAGCAAATTTTCTTTTATTGTGCTTTCAGGTATGGGACACAGTATCGAGTCGGGCAAAGACTTCACAGTTGACGGTCTATCGGGGTTCAGCAAAAAGAAAAAGAAGAAGCGTCGACATAGGTGAGCATATCTAATAGAAACTGCAGCACTTTTTTTGCTTAACGTCGCGAGCCCGAGCACGAACAAAACCAAATCTTTTTCATCGACTTTTTCCGCTAGATTATTTCAACTATCTTGTCGTTAAAGGAAACTTTAAATTGAATAATATTTCCTACCATTTCTGCAGAGCCCGGTAAATGTATAAAGGATTTAGCAAATGATCTTTGCGCGTGTTTATAGAGATTTAAATATAATATGCGAGTCAGCCATTTTGAAAAGGTTTGAAATCTGCTCAGATCTCCTGTTTCTTCCAGGCAGAGGGATATCCCTTTTACCTTCTTTCTTTTGATCGAATGATACTCTGAATTGTTCAGGCCAAATGAGGAAATCTTTTCAACCCTCCTCAATTATCCAAAGAAACTTCATCATTTGGTATTAATAGAAATTTTTTCAGAATGAATTTATATATGCTTTTATATAATGATCGCGCAACGATACTCGTTTAATTAAATTGAATGAATACTACACTTTTTCAATCCTCACCTGCAACATTAGCATTTTAAACATCTCATCGTGGCAGCGATTTAAAGAAAAGAATGCCAGTAATTCAATTAGTCGATAAAAAAGAGGAATAATTATTTAATTGCAATACTTCGAAACTGTTACGGCTGCGTCGTCGCTTACACGTGCAAATTATCAAATCCTCTCGCGCGCAACTGTCAAAATTATATACGCCTGACCTAAACGATAAAGTGGCAAGGCGTCAAGCTCTTAATGAGACGATGATTGCGCGGGAAGTGACTTTCATTTTTATGAAGAGACACAAGTATATATATGTATGAGCTAAACAACACGCATAAATGCGCTTATAGCTCGACAGATGTGTGTCCGTCTGGCTGATGCACACATTTATTCATGGTACGAGCGTGTATATATCGGCACGAGCAACTGTCAGTTGACTCGATGATTGGACGTCTCTTTCGTTCATGTTTTTCTTTCGTCAATCCTTTTTTAGGCGTGCGCCTATTTATAAAGTTTTGAATCGTCGACTATAATAGAATACGAATAGCACAGTACACAGCTCGATTGAGCCTGCCCAAATAATACGCGCAGCGTCTTCTATTCATTCGTTAGACAATGAAAGAATTCGATATAGCTTCAATTGCTATACGATCTACATTAAATGCAATCTTTTCTGCTGACTTTCAATTTTCGACTCAATACAGCCGATGCTTTGAATCGATCTCCTTAATTAAATTATAGCGCTTGATGCATCCCCTAATGTGTAATTGGATATATAATGCAGACTACGAAATATAATAATTTTATTTCGAAAACTTCATTGATTCTCTTTCGATCATTAATTTTTTAAATTTGAGTTAAATATTTCAAATTCTGTTCAATTGCCATTATGTTGAACCACTTAAATTTTTATTTTTAATTCTTTGCACATCATGGAAAACTCATTCAAATTTATATTCATTAATAGCACAATAGTGCTCCACTTGGCGCAGCCATTCTATTTTATGTCCTGCGTGTAGAGAGTTAAAAAAGCCGAGAAATATATTTTAATCGCTTAGGGTCGCGCTAGACTTAGGGGAAGAGTTGTAATGGCATATAACTAGGTTCATGTGGTTGTTGCTCTAGGACGATCTTCACGTCTCAGCAGCTGGAGGAGCTGGAGGCGGCTTTCAAAGAAGCACATTATCCGGACGTTTACGCGCGAGAAATGCTCAGTCTCAGAACAGATCTTCCCGAGGACAGAATACAGGTGAGTTTGACTTTTTTTATTATTATTTTCTTTCTGATGTATGTCCACAAAAAATAAAGAAATAAATAAAACATGCTTGTTTATTGTATCGTGGTCCCTTGTTGAGTAAAGTAAATGATTTGTCAGCTAAGGCAAAAATGTTAGCTATTTAATTCATTGCAACATTATATCTTATTCAGATTCAAGGGTAAATAGTAAACTAGACGCTGAATCAATATCATATTGAAAGAATGCAGTTATTTTGATTTATATTTATTTAATACGTTTTTTATGAAAATTGTATAGCACTAAAGATGAGCACAGTTTATAAGTCATTAACTGTGCAGATTAAAATCTTGAGAAATAATTACAAAAAACGCTCTGAAACTCTGTACTACGTATACCCAAGTAAATATTGAAAAACTTAAAAACGAAAAGACAGTTCTTAAGAGCAGTAAGTGGAAAAATTGCGAAGCTTCGAAATTAGAATCAAGCATGGAGTCAGTCGGAGAAAAAGTAAAGCTCGTGTAGCGAGCACAAAAAATTCGCTAATGCCTACTTAAGTAAATGAGCTAGTTGACTCTGAGAAGCGAGCGAACGGAGTAAAGATGCTGCGTGCACATAGGTACGCACTCATACACACGCACGACACAAACACGCACACGAAACAGAGTCGTGAGCTCGTAAAAGGGGTTTTCTCTCATACTGTGTGCGAGTGTTATATATCAGAGCACTATCAACAAAGCGGCCATTGCGCGGCAGGGTGGGTGCGGTCGGTGGGTTTAGCCAATAAGCGCCGCGGCCCCCGGCCTTCCTAAGCCAATCAGAGCTCCTGCGCCAGCGCCGCCGAGCGCTCGTCTTTTGTCTCTATACCGTACAGCGCGCTATATATAACTTTGCAAAACAGGGGACGAGCAGCTACTGCAGTCTGCAACTCGCAACTCACGCACATATACAGTCATATGATACACACACGCGGGAGGCTCTTCCCCTACCATTGAGTTGCTGATATTGCTTCCCTCTCTCCTCCTTTCCCGGTTCCCTCTTCCTACTCCTCTTCCTCCTCTTACTCCTGCGGCCTCTGCATCTTTTGCACTCCAACTCGAGGTTTGTTCTTTTTTTTCTTTCTCTTCGTATTATTTTTTTTTTTTTTTAGCTAAACCGTATGTGAAAAGAGGGCGAAGCAGAAAAAGATTCTATTTTTCTTTAATTTTTCACCCGCACAAGAGGCGAGATAGAGCGAGAAGCCTGCGGCTGCAGACCGCGTTTTTCTCTCACTTCGTAATTTTCCTTTCCGAAAGAATCCGTCTGTCTGGACCGCGCTTGCTCATCTATGCATGACTGTATTCTATTGCTATCTAGCTTTTCCTTCGCTATTAAATCCCATACACATTATGCTTACCTTTTTACTTCCTTTTCTTTGCTGTGCGCGAAGAATTTATACTTTTGTAAACTCATAAAGCACCAAGCGGCTATTCTCGTGGTTTCATGTGCTATTGTTTCAAAATGAACGTCTTTGAAAGATTTGATTCTGAGAAGCGTACGTATGTTGATTAAGGAGAATCTAAGGAAGACTTTTATTTAATATTTAACAATTGCTTTGTTTAGCGATTCAAAGATGTTTTGCGGGTATGATTATTAAATCCATATAATTGCACCCTTCAAGTCGCAAAAATAATTTAGAGTCCTTTCATAAAAATTTTATTCTCATGAAAAGTGCGAGTAAGACCATAATTTTGTTTTGAAAAGCTTTTATTTTCTTAGGTTATTCAATTGTGCAGAATAGATCATGCCAAACGAAACTTGTTCAAAAACCTCAAGTTAAAATTACGACTCTGCACGCAAGCTCTGGTTAATTCGTTGATTGCAAACGACGCTGCGTTGCAGGCACGATCCGCAATTGTTAAATTATCAACTTGAAACGGAGCTCGAGCTGCCGATCACTCGTTCACATCAATATAATGCCTCGTGTAGTAGCTGTGCACGCGCGGACCTGAGAGAAGCGAGTAATTATACGTAGCGCGTGCGCGACAAGCCGCTCCAGCCGAGCTGTGTCCGCATATATAGAAGAAAAGGTCGGCAGCGCCGTATCGAACGAATATATGCAAAAATGAAAAGCTCCGCGCGTAGTACACTCATTGAGCCGGCGAAGGGTCGCCCGCTGGCAAGTTAATCGAAATGTCTCTGGCAGACTTCCGCCCACCGATTCTTCTTTGCGAGCGAGGCGCCTCGCACCGGGGGTCAATAGAACTTCCGGCCAGTCCTCGATTCTTTGACGCGCTCGCGCCTGTGTGCAGTGTATGTGAGCAGGCTCCCTCGCAATGCACATAATACGCGAAAAAAAGAGAGAGGAGCAGAGAGAAGAAGAAAAAAAATTGTTCGGCATCGATTCTCCTCTAGCTCGCACAGTGCCGGAGCAGCTAGTCGCTAGTATCGAAATAATCGTATAATCGTGTATAGCTGCGGTATCTCGTTACCCCCGGCGCGCGACTGTCAACGACCGACTCTCAATAGCACACGAACAAGCGGTCTTGATTTCGACGGTCTCATTTATTATTATATATGTCTTTATAACCATGGAGCTCTCCTTGCATGTACCACGCGCTACAATCAATCGGGGGAAGAGAGAGAGAGAGAGAGAGAGAGAGAGAGAGAGAGAGAGTAAAATTACGTGTCCAGAAGTTCTTTCAGCGACTCGAGTTAATATAAGTCGAGGAGCGACGGAACGAGAGCTTTTTTACACGCTCTACTCCTGATGGCGATCGATATTTTTTCGCCCCACGATGCATGAGGCATAAAATAGTATAAGAGAGAAAAAGTGTATGTGTGTATATGTAACGCTTTGAGCATTATACACTTTCAAGCAAGAGAGTTTCGGAAATTTTCATTAGCATATACTATATTCATCACGACGATACGGCAGCGTTTTCAGCAGTAAAAGAAAGAATCGCTTGAGCTGATTTGATAGTATAATGTTGGCACTCGCGTTTGCACAGTGAAATGAAAGCATTGCACCGATATCGCGAGATCTTCCTTTCTATTCTGCCGATGAAGCCAAGTGAAGAAAGCGCGTAAAAAATCAAAAAAGTAATCGCAAATCGCTTTAGTCGTTGAACCTCGACTTGAGCTTTGAAGTCGACGCTTTACGAATTGCATTGAACTATACATATGCTCGCCTCTATTCCATCGACCGAACGAATTCACTTTCGTGTGTTTACATTTATAGGTACTCGATGTTGATTGTAGTATAGCCGCAGCTACACTTACGGCCTACGATAATACCACATAAGTAACTTTTCTCGTATAATGCCTGAAGCGCACGTACAAACCGTTCGATTCAAGATGACTCTTCCAATTGCATCGTGAATCTATAATCTCTTGGTAACGGTTCGCATTTCTTATTGTTTAACCTAGTTTCATTTCATGCTTATACATAATCTAGGCACGGCATCGATGTAGTTTTAATATCATCCCCAGCTAAGTCGAGCGATGTTATATAAGGCAGAGAAAACTAGATCTGGTAAGCGAAAAGATAAAAGATTGCCAAGTCAAAGAAAAGTTAATTCATCCTTATCTGACAGCGTTACGATTTCTCTCGCTCTTCGCATCTTTCCCCACGCGCCCGTTGACGCTCATCAAGTCCGTCAGGTTCTCTCTTTCCCTTTCTCTCGCTCTCTTGCTTCTAACAATTTCCTTTGCGTCGTCGTTTCATTCTTCTCAAGAAATTGAAATGTCACAAGATCTCGTTCTCTCGTTTTCTCTTTGTCTCTTGCGTAGCTTGACGATGTTCCGCTATGCTGCTGCTGCTGCTGCTGCCCTGTGCTACGAGTGTCCTGTGTTCTATACATACACGTATTACTAGAGTCGGGCGGTCGAGCAGCGTTGCACTGCAGAAACTTTGGTTAAGTTCATAAAAACGAACTTTTCTCGGGATTCTTGGGCAACAAAAAAAGAAGGGAAGCTCAGCTCATATTTACATGCTACGCTGCGGTTCGAGCCCAGCTATAAAAGAAAAGAATAAACGGGATAATCGACCTCGAGTACCTTGATACCTTTGCTGTTAAGCCGCACTCAAACATAAGAAAGAAATTCACACGAGTTTATCCACATGCATATGTATGCGTAGAGGCTAGATGCATAAATGTATGGAGTGCATATAAAGCTGACAAGTAGGTCTTTAAGATGAAAAAAAGAGTCTTGAAAACTAAGCCATCTTGCTGCTGACGTCAAGCGGCTGCTGCACTGCTGTTGCAGTACAAGTCAGATGTAAAAACTAAAAGTAGACTTCTCTCTTTCTTTCTTAGTAAAATGTTCCAAGTGTATAAATGCTCATTTTCCTTTTGATCTCTGCGCGCGAAAAAAGTCGAACTAAATTTCTCTAGAGCTCCAGTAAGAATAGTTTGGCACTCCACAGTCTCTTAAGTACGTTATAAGTTTGAGACAAAAATTTTAACTTAGATTCAGTTCATTATGCATCGAAGATGGTAGAAAAAGTTTATTTTTATAGAAAACATAAGTATATGTACATAAATAGTTCGGGACAAAGGTCGACTACAGACGCGGGCTGCTTTCGCATCGAAAAAAAAAATTATCTGACTCGTGTACACGCGCAGTTGTCACTACGGCTTTTGAAAAGCCTTATTTTAAGCAAGCGCGCGCAAGGCAAGTCAACGGGGCAACAAGAAGAAAAACGCTACTCAACTCCAGTAATAAGTCTTTGAATTTTTTTAATGAAAGCGCTTGAAAACTCGAATAGGGTTAAGTAGTATCTTATTCCACTTCAAAAGATCGTTTAATTGCTAAGGCAGATAAATTTTTAATGCACCGTACGCTTGCTCGCTCGCTCGCTGCCTCATTTCTTCTACATGGGTATAAAGAGAAATAAGTGGACGTTGGGATCCCTTAACGATCCAATTCCCGAGCTTCTGGTATTCATTTTCGCAACGGCTATTCAAACCATCGAGATCATTTCGCCAAGTTGTCGCGCTGGGTACTTTACCTCCTTCGAAGTAATTTTAATT